GACTGTCTACATCAGTAAGCTGTGTTGCTATAAATCATCCCACAACACTGTGCGATGACCTACGTAATGTATCATTATAACGACTATGTCAAGATTCATGACCCTTGACCAAGAGACCTTCCCTGTAACAAGAAGAGAAGACAATACAGTTACAATACACATGCCCTGAGCCCTCTGACATCAGAATGTTATCTCTACCCTCCAAAAGCAAGCCTATCATCACAATGCAGAAATCTCCTACATAGCAGACTTCTATTCAAGAGTATTTGTTTACCTCATTAGTTTATCACTTGTGGGATACTGACAGTCTCCATTGAGACGAGAGTGCACAGTGCTGAATGAGAATAAGCAATATCTCTCTTCCTGATTAAACTTTCAGAGGGCGGATTTACTAAGAATAAATTGATAGCATTGTCTATTTTCACTCACGGTGTATGCTGTTTTAGCACCCGGTTCACAAAAGAAATTATTCAAATCAGATAACAACACAAAATGCTGAAATTCAATTTGCACAGCACAGTTCTCTGAGGTGTGTTTTAATGCTAGGTTGTGCACTGTAAGAAAAAACATTGTAGATAAACGGAAAAGGTACTGGTAACTTTCTGCCTGGACATCATCTATGAAGCTTACAGACATTTCCTTTAACTCTAAAACACAGTGCAATGTGTAATTCAAAATATGAATAGGAAAAAAACACCTGGGAACATTTATATGGAAAATTCCTTCTTAAAAACACAGCACACGTTACTATTTTTACAGGCTTTTCTTAGAGTGTGAAGGATGCAGAAGACTACATGATCTGAAATACTCTGCCTGATCTGCACAGCATCGCTTCACCATCACTGTCATCCTTCTGAATCAGCTCTTCAAAACGTACACTAGCAGAAATAAATTGCTGCTTATTAATAGTTAGTAAGGTAATTGTTAAGTTTATTATTGGGTAGGATTTGGGTGCAAAATATGGTCATGCAGAATATGTGCTTTATAAGCACTTATTAAACAGCCAATATGTTAATAATAGGCATGCTAATAAGCAACTAGTTAAATAGCGAGAACTTACTAGAGTTACCGTGAGAATTAACTAAAGTGTGACCAAAGGTAAATATAAGTATCTCAGAGTAAGTGATTACTCACTTTTAGGGGTAAATAAGTGTGTAAATATATAAATACAGTGCATCCGGAAAGTTATGTTATAGCCTTATTCCAAAATGGATTAAATTCATTATTTTCCTCAAAATTCTACAAACAATACCGCATCTTGGAAATGTTATTTTTTTTTAAATCGCATGTACATGAGTATTCACAGCCTTTGCCATGACACTCAAAATTGAGCCTAGGTGCATCCTGTTTCCACTGATCATCCTTGAGATGTTTCTACAACTTGATTGGAGTCCACCTGTGGTAAATTCAGTTGATTGGGCATGATTTGGAAAGGCACACACCTGTCTATATAAGGTCCCACAGTTAACAGTGCATGTCAGAGCACAAACCAAGTCATGAAGTCCAAGGAATTGTCTGTAGACCTCGGAGACAGGATTGTATCGAGGCACAGATCTGGGGAAGGGTACAGAACAATTTCTGCAGCACTGAAGGTCCCAATGAGCACAGTGGCCTCCATCATCCGTAAATGGAAAAAGTTTGGAACCACCAGGACTCGATATCGTTGACTTGATTGCACAGATACTATTTAAACTGAACTGAGCTGGATGATGGCATCACTGAATTCAATGATGAACTGTCTTTAACTGAAAAACGAGTGTTTACTATCGTCACTTTGCATTATTGACACACTATTTTCCTAATTAATGCTGTACAGTTGCTTTGACACAATCTGTATTGTTAAAAGCGCTATATAAATAAAGGTGACGTGACTTGACTTGACTCTTCCTAGAGCAGGCTGCCCGGCCAAACTGAGTGATCGGGGGAGAAGGGCCTTAGTTAGGGAGGTGACCAAGAACTCAATGGTCACTCTGACAGAGCTCCAGCATTTCTCTGTGGAGAGAGGAGAACCTTCCAGAAGAACAACCATCTCTGCAGAACTCCACCAATCAGGCCTGTATGGTAGAGTGGCCAGACGGAAGCCACTCCTCAGTAAAAGGCACATGACAGCCCACCTGGAGTTTGCCAAAAGGCACCTGAAGGAATCTCCGACCATGAGAAACAAAATTCTCTGGTCTGATGAAACAAAGATTGAACTCTTTGGCCTGAATGCCAAGCGTCATGTCTGGAGGAAACCAGGCACCGCTCATCACCTGCCAAATACCATCCCTACAGTGAAGCATGGTGGTGGCAGCATCATGCTGTGGGGATGTTTTTCAGCGGCAGGATCTGGGAGACTAGTCAGGATCGAGGGAAAGATGAATGCAGCAATGTACAGAGACATCCTTGATGAAAACCTGCTCCAGAGCTCTCTGGACTGGGGCGAAGGTTCACCTTCCAACAGGACAACAACCCTAAACAGACAGCCAAGACAACAAAGGTCAACTCTGTGAATGTCCTTGAGTGGCCCAAGCCAGAGCCCAGACTTGAACCCGATTGAACATCTCTGGAGAGATCTGAAAATGGCTGTGCACTGATGCTCCCCATCCAACCTGATGGAGCTTGAGAGATTCTGCAAAGAAGAATGAGTGGAACTGCCCAAAAATAGGTGTGCCAAGCTTGTAGCATCATACTCAAAAAGACTTGAGGCTGTAATTGGTGCCAAAGGTGCTTCAACAAAGTACTGAGCATAAGTACTGAATACTTATGTACATGTGATTTTTTTTTGTTTTTTTTTAACATTTTTTTATAAATTTGCAAAGATTTAAAACAAACTACTTTCACGTTGTCATTATGGGGTATTGTTTGTAGAATTTTGAGGAAAATAATGAATTTAATCCATTTTGGAATAAGGCTGTAACATGACAAAATGTGGAAAAGGTGAAGCGCTGTGAATAATTTCCGGATGCACTGTATGTCCCTTTAATGGTACTGCCCTATTGACAAGCTGTTATACCTCTGAAGGTACAATTTTTTTTTGTTCTTCACATTTTTCCTGAGAGTTTTGCTTTGTTTAATGAGCCCACTCCTAGAAATAAAGGTTCCTTATTGATATGAAATGATTCCATTAAGAAACTTTAACATCCACAACACTGGAAAGATTCTATGGATGTTAAAGTTTCTTCAAAACATTTCTTTCTTTAAAACAATTTAATTTGTTTAATTCAATTAAATTTTAAATCATCTGCTGTCAATGCATGTGTTCAGACCATCACAAACATTTAACCTTTTTTCCATCACAATGCTGACCAAGCAAGATTCATGCTTTTTGTCATGTGCCTGGATCTGCTGAAAACTATCACTTGGTGGCACTCACTCAAACGGTTTAATGCATCTACATTTTCTCTCTACAATATAGACAGAATGATTTGTACCACCACAAATACATCCAGCAGTAATAGCTGACTGGTGCTATCTTTAATGATAGTGAACATTGTTCTTGGCAGCAGGCTCCAGTGCAGATTGTCTGGCAATAAACACGACAGTCCTCATATACAGCAGGAAATAAGGTGTAATCATATCTGTCTTTTAAAATCATTATCCTCTTTATGGCTTTTGAAGCCAAGAGCCCTTCCTGAAGGACTTAATAATTTTTCATATAAAGATAAAAGTATAAAGATAAAAGTAAACACTGTGCATATACAAGCAATGCTTTTTTAATAAGCATTGCTTATAAATATGCACACAAAAGCTTATATTTAGGTAAACACCTAAATGGACAATGTTAGACGATGAAATGAGCAAAAATAATTCTCATTTACTGCCATTGCAGGAAACCAGAGCCATGTCTAGAGACCAGAATATCATAGAGGCTTAGTGGATGGACTCTTTTTACTTGGACCAGTAAGTAACCACCTAGCAACCACCCAGAACATTCTAGTAACACCCTGGCAACCACACACCTCACTATGTTTTGCATGAACATGCACAACTCACATTTTCTGCTTCTTAAAAAAGTACAAATCTCTCTGATGCTGCTGTTAAATTGGTTTAGAAAAAAATACAAATATTGACATGAATCTTTTAGATAGATTCATAAGGCACTTTCCTTTATTGTAATCAATTAATTGGCCTTAAGCTTAAAAAAATGATCAGAATCTGTTTGAACATTAAAACTTGTAATACCTCTGTCAATAACAAGGAACATGAAGGAATATGAATGTGAAATAATGCCTGTGTTATCTATGACAATGCTGATGGTTGTACACACACACACACACAGGTTTGTTTTTGTGAAAAGTGGGGACAACTCTACTAACACTCTAATGAGAGTCAGTAGATATGTAGGTAACATTACTTATAGTCAACAGAATGTGTTAAAGGGACCATCAAAATAAAGTGAAACCATGTGTGTTAATATAACGAAAGTGAAATGCTTGTTGCCAGTCATTAATAATGTAAATCAATCTTTGTCACACAGTCCACACAGATTCTAATAAAAAGAGTTTTTTTTTTGTAGGAAACAGAAAACAACAAAACAACAAAAGTTGTGACACAAATGACTTACTATATACTATGTACTTATTCTATGCACTATGTACTCTACTGTCTAGCCCTCCAGTACGTTTAAAGCAAATTAAGTGTCCAATATTCCACACTCTTTCCACTGTTTTTTGTTTTTTTTTCCTGCACATGCAACATCTAGGCATTTGAAGAGCACTTTTACTTTTTGGAGTTTTCAGTGTGAACACAATAATCACACTATTTATAATAAAGTGGCATAGAATAGTGAAAAAAGTATGCAAATTAGGATACACCTAGAAAAACGCTGTTATTCCATATCCAAAACGTACACCCAAGGATCGTTTAAGAACACTAATATAAAGATCTTAACATTCACAAGTCCTGTATGGTTGTGACATGGTTAGGAAAGTGTTTGAATGATTAAAAAAGTTGAAAAAATTAAAAACAAGTTCCCGATACGTTGGTTAAACAAAACTGTCTGCACTGTATGATCTTACTGTGGGCTGTGTTCCAATAGCAGCCTGAGCGAGGGTAAGTCCCCTTTAGCTGCAGCATAATGAACAGGCAACGCCCCCGTATCCGTGGCAACAGTAGGATCCCCTTCCCCATTTTTCAGCAGCCAATCAATGATCTCATGATGACTGAAGCGAGAAGCCAAGTGCAGGACAGTGGCCCCTGAGCTGTCCTTATCCTGTAAACAACACAGAACATAATAAATAACACATATTTAAACTATATCACACAATAACTCACAAGCGGCTGGAATACAGAAATATCGGTACATTTCTAAATTTTTCAAGGGCAACAATGTGCATGTTACATGCTATAAAGCACTGACAGGGAACATGGGTGTATTTTAACAGATTTATTTGTACAGTATGAGACAAAATTTGAATAATTTTCAGTACATATGCCGCCGAGTCTCTGCTGGATTCTATTTAACTGGCCAAAGTTTTTTGTAGTCATTCAACTTGCAGTGCAGGTATGAAACACAATAATGTAACGTGAAGCCCTGCTGTAGACTTCGCGCTCCCCATTGATGGCAGAGATAACTTCCACTACTGCATGTGCACAGAAGGAAAAAAGGACAACAGCAGGAGCTCTAGTTACTTGTTCATTACGACAAACACTTTTTTGAAATGATGAGGTGAGGTGTACCACTAGACCTAGAACAATATTAATGTTACTTTTACACGTATATTTAATTTCAGTTTAATCAAATAAAAAAAAAATGATCAAAACAAAATTCTAGCAAATCTGCAGAATATTTTTTAAGTATTTCATTATAATACCAAAAGACAAAGGTTCATACATTCGAATCAGGACTACTAAAAAACAAAGGATTAAGTGCTTTTTGAAACCTTACTTCAGGCTTCAGATCCTGCTTCAACTAATTAAAGATTTATGACAAATCCACTATATTTCAAACAGAAAATATGTTTCACCTACTGAGAATGATGTATGAACTAGCTATCAACACAACATGACTCTCATGACTGTCTCCAAATAAACGTACTAACACAAGCAGGCTGGTCTTATTTTACGGTTTACACCCTGAATAACTACGCAGAGACTTAGTGACATAATTTAGTGAAAATTTGAATGTAGTTACAATTTTATTTAACCTTACAATGCAATACAGTAATCTTCCCCTGAGATTTCATGTTTTGTTTTTTTTGTAGTTTTTAAAAAAAATGTTCAACTTAAAATGTCCTTAATTTGTAGTTCATGGTAATCCCGACTGTACAAAACACGTTATCACATACAAGAATGCAAAACAACAGTTATATGTATCGTCATGAATTGAATCTGTGTTTTCATTTTTCAAAGACAAGCAAGTACGTCTTGTTATTCTACTTACTTTTTAAGGAAAAGAGACAAGGTCACCGTTGTGAAAAAGAGATACACTTTAGCATACTTTAACAAAAATACTTTTTAATATTTATTAGAGAAATAATATACATTGCAGAATTATTAAGTGCAAACTGCATGTTTTGGACATTTAATTACATGCTATTTGCAATGAAATTAAAATAGTTTATTGTAGTTTAGGTTTTAGATTATGTTCATTTTAAATGCAATTAGCTGAAGCTGAGTCCTTTTTTGATAATATATCAAAAGTATTCACATTAGGTGACCATTTTTACTCCAAGTTTACATAAAAGTAGGCTATAGACTAGCTATATCATCCAAAATACATTTTCCACAGAGCACCCACTGTACCCTATTTATATGTGCACTCTTCAAAGTAAAGGCTCCAAAAAGGTGTTTTTGCAGTGATGCCACAGAAGAACCAGCTTTCAGTGAACAGTTCTTGAATGAACCATTTTGAAGAACATTTTAAAAATCGAAAGAACCTTTTCTACTATAAAGAACCTCTTCTGCATTTGAAAGGTTCCATGGATGTTCAGGGTTCTTCATGGAACCATCAATGCCAATAAAGAACCTTTTTTTAAGAGTGTAGTGTAATACCTGGTGTTACTGTTATTACTATTGTAACTCAGTTTATTTACACAGACGCGGACACTGTTAACATTGAAAGAGTGCGTAAAGATACTCACGGCCGCGCGACATCCTCCGTGCGTCACGAGCCACTGAAGGCAGGTCAGGTTGCCCGTGGCTGCGGCGTCATGCGCAGGACTTGCGCCGTTTCTCGCCAGGCTGCTCGCCGGTAAACCCGCTTCCTCAACCAAATACCGCAGACAGGTGAGCTTCCCCGCTCGCGCGGCGTGGTGTACGGGAGTCGCTCCCAGCACATCTTTCACATCGCCGTTGAGAACTTTCTCCGCTAACTGTACTTTCAGAGTTTGCACATCCCCTTGCCTCGCTGCGAGAAGTGTCCTCTCGACCACCATGATGATGCAGCGCCTCCAAACAAATGACTATTAGCGCACCATTAAGCGTCAGCTCACAGAAGTCCACGCAACAGAACGCGTATTACTTTGTTCTGTCCATCCCTCTTTGTTTGAATCACCAGACCATAAAGGTATCGACCTAAATCTAAGAAATATATTCTCTCGATCTATTATTATTCATTATATGGCATTTTAACACACTGTTACCTCCATTCACCGCGTAGCTGCTATCTAAAGAAAACCAGCCAAGCATTTCGTTACGGTCTTACTAGTCGTCTCTGAACGTATCCATTGGCTATACTGATCTTGCCTATACACTCACAGTAGCCTATATTTCACCTGTTACGTTTCTTAACTAAACACAAACTAGCAAAACAATAAGCGCAAAACCAATGCGTCCTCTTTGGATGAAGTCTATGGCCTGTTGTCAAACGGTTCGTTCTGAAGTCTTGAGGGACTGAACTTGTGAATAATCCATTAAGGGGAGGAGAACGGTAACATGTTGGCCCCACTTCAATCGGCTCAGATGTTAAAGGCACAGCGCGTCATTGTGACGCTGTTTTGTTGTACGAGTAGGGTTCTCGTCTGGTGTAACAGTTTTCTGAAACAAGGTTATTAGGCGTTTATGCATCATTTATGCATATGTTGATTTGTTTCATTTACGTTTCTTAAATCTACATTATTTTTTGATTTGCAGAAGAAGAACGTTTATTTTTCTCTACTTCCTCTTATTTAAAATTATGCCATAGCTACAAAATGCAAATTGCGAACTCTAGCGTCTTACTAAATCTCTATGCTTCATCTGTATTCGATATCAATATTGTGGAACAGGCAGGTGCAACCTGTTGATTTTATTACCTCAAGGGCCTTACCCTATATTACCAATAGATGGCAGGCTCGAACAACGTTGGTATATCACTGTACAGCTGTATAGCATCTTATCCATGCGTCTGAACATCAGTGTTAGTGAGATTTGATGTTCATTGATTGTAAGAAATTTAAAAAAAAAGGTAGTTCCTCGTGGCCAGTGTTCTAGACCAGGGGTGCCCAAACTCAGTCCTGGAGGGCCGATGTCCTGCAGAGTTTAGCTCCAACCTGCCGCAACACACCTGCCTGGAGGTTTCTAGTATGCCTAGTAAGAGCTTGATTAGCTGGTTCAGGTGTGTCTAATTGGGGTTGGAGCTAAACTCTGCAGGACACTGGCCCTCCAGGACCGAGTTTGGGCACCCCTGTTCTAGACACTTTGGGGGCCCTGCCCCTTTAGTCGCCGACGCTAAAGTGCCCATTAGGTGCCAGTGACACTGTTGTTGGAAATATTATTTAATTTCAAAAAGTATAATGAATTTTAAATATCTTTCATCCAATCATTAATTTTAATCTTGTTTGGAATCATTAAATCTCAAACCATTGTTTTGCTATAATGAGTTCGTTGTGACATTTACTTTTAAATAAAAATAGAAAAGATTAATATATAATTCATAATGTGATTCTGTTATTTGATTTGACCTAAATTCTTTAAATGCATCATTTTACATAGATTGTGGTTTAATAAATAGCTTTCATTAATGGCATTATTGTTTTTTACATGTATATCTACACTAATCCATGCTTTTATCACTTCAAGAATTGATTACTGCAATCCTCTCTACATTGGCTTATCAGCAAAATCTATCAAACGGCTACAATATATTCAGAACTCAGCAGCGCGTGTTCTCACTCACACAGCCTCACGGCAGCACATCAGTGGTGTCCTCTGTAATTTGCACTGGCTTCCAGTTCAATCGCGTATTGAGTTTAAAACGCTTGTTTTAACCTATAAAGCTGCGCATGAATTGGCTCCTTCTTATGTTTGTGATTTAGTTACCCCTTACATGCCTTCTCGTCCTCTTCGTTCTGCTGATTCTCTTCTTCTCTATCAGCCCCACTTCAGATTAAAAACTATGGGACAGAGAGCTTTCTCTCGTGCCGCTCCGAGATTATGGAATGCGCTTCCTTTAAACATTCGAAGTGCTCCTACACTAAGTACTTTTAAGAAACTGTTGAAAACCCACCTTTTTAAAATTGTCTATTATGATTAAGTTGTATTTATATGTGACATTGTTGTAGCGCTTTGGGTTGAGAAAAGCGCATTATAAATAAAATGTATTATTATTATTATTATTATTATTACTAATAAAATTCAAGGCATTGATGTTTGCCTAAACAACCACTGGCTCTGCACCCCTTTACCTCAATTCACTGCTTTAGACTTACATGTGCCATCTATGCTTGCGTTCTGCAAGTGAACAATGCATTATAGTGCATCCCAAAAGACACAAAATCACTTTCACGGACTTTTACATTAACTGTTCCTTTCTGGTGGAATGTCCTACCAACTCAATCCGAGCAGCTGAGTCTTTAGCCATCTTCAAGAAACGGCTAAAAACACATCTCTTCCATCTATACTTGACCCTCTAACACTAGCACTCTCTATTCTATTTCTATTCTGTCTACTCGTTTTCTTTTTGTTTATTTATTTAAAAAAATAAACACTTCTTGCACTCTTTACAATGCTTGCTTTCTTTTTATTTAAAAAATAGAGCCTCTAACACTAGTATTCGCTATTCTTTTTCTATTCTGTGTACTTGTTTTCTTTATAAATAAATAAATAAATAAAAACCTTGCTACGTGTAGACCTACTGCCTTAGGCTAACCGAGACTTGTCATAGCACTTGCATATTATTGCTCTTTTGTTGTTTTGATTGCTTCTGTTGTCCTCATTTGTAAGCTTTGGATAAAAGCGTCGGGTAAATGCCTAAATGTAAATGTAATAAATACATTAATACGAATTATATAAAATGTAATTTATACATTCTGTAAAAATGCATTATTCATTCTGGGACAAGTTTACCTTGGAGGGCTTGTTGTCCCAGGTTGGCCCTGTTCTTTCTTTCTTTCTTTCTTTCTTTCTTTCTTTCTTTCTTTCTTTCTTTCTTTCTTTCTTTCTTTCTTTCTTTCTTTCTTTCTTTCTTTCTTTCTTTCTTTCTTTCTTTCTTTCTTTCTTTCTTTCTTTCTTTCTTTCTTTTTCTGTGCTATGACAGCTAAATTAGCAAATGGCAAACGTGTCTATTTATATGCCCTGCAAAATGTATTCATAACGTTTACTTGGTGTTCCTTGTTTTAAACTCTGAAAACGGGAGACAATCTAATTTGCCCCAGTGGATGTACGAATGACCTGAAGCTAGTTAACTTCTGATATTGTACTTAGATTTTGCTTTTAGGAAATTAAAGGGGGGGTAGAAAGAACTTTTGCGTACTTTTAACGTTCTAGCCTTCTTTTTATGTAACCGATACGCAACACCCAGTGACTCCATATGCGCAACAGAAATTGCTGGAGCTGGCGCGTGATTTATGCTGACATCTCCCATGTGGCGTCAGTCGCGTGCCTGACGCGTGCCATCCTCATCTATTTAACTATACCGAGAAGCACGAGCCAGGTTTATTAATGGATAATCCCTCAGGGGCTGTGCGGGACAGGTCTCACAGGACAGCTTATCTTTGGCTGACTGATCGTGTATTGTCGAGCAGTGCTTACAAATAGTCCAAAACACATATCATAATCCTGTTACTTTTGTCACATTTGTTGTTTTACATCGTTAAAAAGCTCAGATATATGTTGTTGTTTCAGATATAGGCCTATGTTGCTTTTACCATAGTCTATCGGATTTCAAACTCAAATATTTGAAAAGCATTTAATCATAGGCTACAAATGCTTTATAATTATTTTTTCGTATATTAACTATGATTGATCGTCTATATCAACTTTCTAACTCAGAATATTGTACAAAAATTGCAACCTGCAATTGTTTAAGGATTTAAGTTGAACAATCTATTTAAGTTTAAGAATCTATTTCTGACTGATTTACCTTTATTTATTGTGATAATATTTTGGTCTGTAAAATCAGTGAAATGTGATAATAAACACATTTAGGCTGTTAACATTTTTCCTGTGTATACTCTGTTAGATAGTTTAGGCATAGGCCGATTAACTTGTCACAATTATTTTCGAATGCATATTTTAAATGGGGTGTTTCTGTGACCCGCGTTTTCTTGTTCACTTTCATTTATGATTTAACATCATGTTGTCAACATCTCTGTGTGGCTTATCAAAGATCTAGGTCACGCCAACAGTTAAATGAGCTTTGTCTCATCTTTGTCTAACGGATATATTCAAATTCCTCACAAATTACTCATGTGAAAGTAGGCTACCAAGTGCAATTCAGACAGATAATCTAACGGTCATTCCCTGAAAGGAAGAGAGCATGGGAGCCTGGAAAAAGTGGCGTATAAACTGCACGCGTCGAGTGTGTGACAGTTATTCAAATTTCCCTCCAATTAGGCCAACCGAAACGCCATTGTAGTGGCCATCTGCTGCCAAACCCGCATGGGACTGTTCCCAGATATTGTTTAACCTCATCCACAAAGAGTGGGAAAATCAGACAGTGCACTTTGGTATGCGCAATCTGCACTTTGACACACATTAACATGCATCACATAAACCACACTCTGATTACCAAGTTTATTTTTATGAAGGATAGACCTACTAGACTATTTCATGACAACTAATAATTGAAAAGCTATGCAATGCATGCAACTTCTCCTGCATGCACTGAACACTTTCTTTCTTTCTTTCTTTCTTTCTTTCTTTCTTTTATTTTAACATTGATGCAAAGTGTTAGCGCGTGATGATGATGGTTTATTAAACCATATACAGGCTATATATATATATATATATATATAGTTATTAATGATATTGTATTTTTTATTATTATGCAGCCTAAAGTATATTTTGGTAGTGCGATTTTCTGCTCCATCTCAAAATTCCTGCGCAGGTTGTTTATCTGCCGTTCCTTTACACATTGCGGGCTGAGCCCATCTGCCACCCCTGCGTGTGCCATTCATTAGCGCCGGTTGAGCCGCTAGATACGTGAATTAATCTAGAAGAGTTTGTGTCTGTGTTTATATGTACACATATGACCTTCTTTATTCATCTATTTTATCACTGCTTGGATAGTAGTCGAACAGGTTTATATGTATATAGCTATAATACAAGTTATTGTATTTATATTAGGCTATATGATAGTTACCTCAAGGAGCAACCTAGCCTGGCTCATAAATCATTGGTGTATTTGTCCTTAAGTAATATTCATTTAATTCTGCATTCACCACATGATGTTATCTGGCTGACATGTGACAGAGCATTGAGAACAACAACAGACCACAACTTCGTTGATGCAAAGATTAAGATTAATGTTACAGCAAAATATTATATCTCAAGGACACAAGGAAGCAGATATTCAGATCTAAATGAAATAAGACAACACAGAGGAATGCAAAATCGCTTTATTTCGTGTGCATGTGTGTTTATGGTCTTAATGAAGACTCAGAAGCCAGGTGGTAAAGTACCTTTATTTCGCA